AAATATTACTAATATTAGCCAAATATTACTAATATTAGCCAATTAGCTATTTGTAACAAAAAGGTCAAATTTTGTTTTCTTTTGAGTGGGTGTTATTAGAATAGATTGGGTATATCTTAAAGAGCTTGAATCTCAGTTTTGGGATGATTTGGTGAAGTTTTGAGGTGGTTTGAATTGAAAATTCGAAATAAAAACTGAACATGAAAAAAAAGATTTGTGTATCACATATGTATCAATTGTGTATCACATGTATATCCATGTATACATGTGTGTGAGATACATGCGTGATACATGTTTGATACATGTGTCGCAGAAGAATTTTTTGAACTCAATTTAATTACGAATTTTGATACAAAACCAGTCCAAATCACCTCCAATCTTCCTCAAATTAAATTTTGTATATTGACTTATCTATATGTTTTCAATGAATTTTAACTATACCCATTGAAAAAGTCCCTTTTTGCTTAGATTTTTGAAATATTGTGTGTGTGTGTGTGTGTGTGTGTGTGTGTGTATATATATATATATATATATATATATATATATATTTTATCACCTTATTTGCTACCTCATCCATGAAATTTTCTTTTCGTCTTGCATCTAATGTTGCTAATCACGCTTAAAAATATGGAAGGAGATTTTTGCATGTGATACTTTGAGAGAAAGAACCTTATTTATTTGGTTTTTTAATTTTTATATGTGTTTAGCTACTTTTAGTAAGTCTATGACCAATGGCTAGAGGTTGGTAAGTTGAGACTTATTTGGGACATTTGTGTAAGTTTCCCTATAATTATTTGGAAGGGAGGTTCCTGCAATCTTTTGTATTTGTCAATACACTACCCTCTAAAAGAACATTATATGTGTTCAAACGTACATAGTTTAGTTTATATACATTAATAGTATAAATGTTTTACATTATCAAATTATTTCTGCTGATGGTAGGTAATCCCCCTTTTATTCAATATTAGGATAAATTTCACTTTTTATGAAGGATCATCCGTAGATATCTTATAGGTAACATAATAATGTAAAAAAAAAATAATATTACCTAGCCTTCAAATATGGAGATTATGTCTAAAAAAATAAATAGAAGAGATGATTGGAATTCGTATATAGAGAATACTAAAGAATTTTCATACTATTTGAAAAGTTAACTATACTTTCGATTTATTTATCTTAATTGTGATAAAATTCTAATTAAGTATCAATTTTGAGTTCTCCTTCCCACAAATATCAATTATTATGAATTCTCTCGTGCTCAATGTTTGGTTCTGAATCTAACCAACCACATGTCGGAGTTTAAAATGTTGGAAGAAAAAGCATGGTGGGGTTTAAAATCACTTTCCAATACCCAATGCTAACGATGGACTTCAACAAAGAGAAAAATGTTTGCAATAAATTACTAAATCAAATCTCTCTATATAAAGCATTACGAGTTATTCATTTTATTAACTTCGATATAACTGAACGACGACTCACGGAAAATTGATACAAACTCAGGTAATCAATAATATATATATTACGTGTCATTTATTTTACATATATTCTTATTACTGATATGGGTATTTGCATATGATAAACAAAAACTAGAAAAGAAAACCTAATTTGTGATTTATACTGCGTCAAATTGAGTAAGCTTAATGCGTACATCAGGTATAATTAATGCAATTCCATGAATACCCTAAAAATAGAAAAAATAATATGAGAAATTATCAGCTACAAACCCAACCAAGTCTCAATAACATCACCAATCCATTTGAATATTAATTGTCTCCTTTTTATGCTTTTGATTTTTCCTGAAACGCTGTTACAAATTGTCTCATCAACAAACCAAAAGACATGTTTGTTCCGTCTAAAAGGGACAACATAGAATTGGACTAACTAAGACAGCAAGGGATACGATTAATGGCTCCTGACATAATTCTAATTGTCTTCTTCTCCTTTTTCTTCTTCTATTTCTTTTTTACCTAATTTAATATCTCTACAGCTTCCGTGCAAGTTAGATGAGTTAAACATGAACCCTCTTATAAACATGTCGAAAGAAAAAATCTTAAGTGTGTTGTGAGATATTTGAAATCTTTTCATTTTTAATTTGAAGGCTTGGGTTCGAACCTTAAGAATGAATATTTTAAGTATAAAGCGCTTTATTCCTACTATTAGCGAGCCTAGTTGACTGTAACTGAACTATTTCAACCAATAAGTTTCGAATACTAAATACCAAAAGCATAAAAAAAGAGAAACCGTAGAATATGTATATTACACGCGGAATATATCTCCAAGTGGACATACTCAATATTGAGAATTTTAATGACAATGCTACGAGTTCGTATTTCAGTGCTATCGTAGCCATCACTTTCTAGTTTCATTTTTGATATAATCATTTAGTATTCAATATTTACTTGCTTGATTAATTATTCAGATGTGCTTCGTGTAGAATTTATTAAAAGGGGGAAGCACTCGCGTACCAAAATTCTTTTGCATTTACAAAGCTCGAACTGAAAGCTTGATTAATGATGGAGTAGTCTCATCCATCCTACGCCCGTTAATAGTATATAAAAAAATATATGCTCATATTCGGAAAATAAAATAATAAAAGAAAAGATTTTCCACATCCATCAAACAAAACTAAACATTTATTATTTATGTAAAAATCATGTTAGTTATGCATGATTTTATGTTAGAAATGAAAAGATATGTAAGCAATATGAACTGTTATAACTTATACGAAATGAAACTTCCTTATATATTTCTAACCAAACGAACCCTTAAAGTTAAAAGAAATGTTGTTCTAAAAAGGAAAACAAACAACACAAGCATAAGCATGTCCATGGTAGTGCATCTTGTGGCTTCCTCCTTGTTCCTCGTAAAAAAAAAACAGTAGGAAAAAAAGTTTAATTTAATTTCAATATTACAAATAGAAAAAATATTTCGTACGATCCTATAGTATTTGGTACAGCGACCAGCCTAATTCAAATTATTGTCGAGTTGGTCATGCAGCGGATCTCTCTCTATCTATAGATAGAGAGGTGTGAAAGTAAAAGCCTTATGTTATGGCCGGATTCATTAATGGGGAACACTCTTTATTATGATCAGTTTCTTCATTTTAGAGTTTGGACACGGGACCTCTAATTAAGGATGATGACGATATTATTTCTATTCTATCATGACATTTGATGGTATATAGAAATACTAAGATTAAAAAATCAAAAGAAATATTAGATTTTCTACATCCGTCGAATAAAAGCACCAGCAAGTTAAAGAAACCTTATTCAATGCCAATATCACAATTTCTAGGAGGAAAAAAATTAAGAAGCACAAGATCTCTAGGCCGAATTTAAGATATCAAAATTTAGCATGTATTTCCACAGTCAAACATGAAAGTTGAGTTTTAAATTAAGAAATTATGATCCTGGTTTTGAATTTAACTATAGAGGCAGACTTTTTTTTTCCTTTTTTCTTTTTTTCAATTCCTCTCCCTTTGATTCTCCTTTGTTAGAGCTATTGCTCCTTTGTTGACTTGAACTCACAACCCTGAATTGTAGGTGTGAGGTGCTGACCATCGGAGTATCTGATACCACGAGAAAAGCTACTTTAAGAGCCTGTTTGGACATAAGAAAATTTTTTATTTTTTCCAAAAAAAATCACTTTTTTTTTTTTCGAAATCAGCGTTTGTTCATAAAATTTTCAATTTTCACTTGAATATGTATTTTGGAAATCTTCGAAAATTTGAAAAACTCCAAAAAGTTATTTTTTAAAATTTTCACTCAAATCACCCATAAAACTTCAAAACAACCCAAAATTATATTCATGTCCAAACACAACTCTAAATACCATTTTCACTTAGAAAAATTTTTTCCCCTATTTTGAAATTTTACAATTCTTATGTCTAAACGCCCACTAAGATTCTCATATGAAGTTGCTAATAAATCTTCATCCTTCCCCATCCTCCTGTCACTCTCATTTTTCTCTCTAACTTTTCTAGTAAATAGAAACGCATCAAAGAGGGAAAAAAAATGGTAAAGATCAAACTCAGACAAACTATATGAATGGCTCTTATAACTTATAAGTACCAATAAATTATTACCTAAAATTTTATTGACCGCCAGTATTAGTCTCATATTTTTTCTATATTAAGCTCATTTACATATGTGCAGATTCACTTCATTTTGAGGGAGTTGATTTTATCCTCTTCTTTTTCTTTTTATATTTTTATTGATTGTAATGCATCTATTAGCTCCTTTAGCTTTAATTATAAAAGAATATGGATTATCTTTAATCCAACGTACATATGCTTGTTTGAATAATACAATGATTAAACTAGAATAAAAAAATTACTCCATGATCAAAATTGTTAGTTTTTCAGAAAAGAAGAAATTATATATTCTATGTTTTATTTTATGTGGCAAAATTTAAAGTATGAGAATCCAACTATTTAATTTTAATATAAATTATTTAAGTTTTAAAATAAAATATGTATATTTGCAAACTATATACATATAAAAAATAATTGTGTCGCCTAAAAAGTATTGAGGAGTAGTATTAATTTACTGTCCACTCACCCAACCACAATCCTACATATCCGTGACAACCGTACCATTTAACCGTATCAAAGTATTAAAAATAATAAAGCTAAAACGAAAAAGATAAAAAAAGGATTAAAAATCTGAGTTTTCCTTTATTCCGTACCTCAATTCTCTGATAGGGACTTTGTATTCTTCCCAATTAAATTGCTTTATTCCCTTTGATATATATAGTTATATACTAATATCTCTCTCTCTCTCTCTGTCTTTTATTGACTATCTTCTAATGGGCCCCACTTTCCACCACCCACCCAAACTCCTAGGGCCCACTAGAATAGCCCAATTTTTTGTAGTCAGCAACAAAACCGGGTCCACATGAATCATCTACGTGCAACAATTGGTCCACATAAAGCACCTCACGTATAACTTTGTACGTATTTTTATTTAGATACAACCCCCTAGTCTAGCAGTCTAGCTTATATGAATAAGGATACTAGTTTTAAATGGAGTTTTTGATGTTTTCTTCTCTCTTTCCTCTCTTACATTTAATAATGGTTTAAGAGAGAGGAGAGAGAGAGAGAAGTGAAAAAGAAGAAGAAAGAATACAAAGAGTTTGTGTTAAAGACGAGTTGTTTTTTTTGGAAAAATCAAGAAAAATACCCCTTTGGGTAAGTGTGTTGGTACACGGATCTTGTTTTTATGGAATGGGTATTTTTTATTCTTTATTATATTTCTTGATTAGTTTATCGATTTGTGATTTGTATTTGGGGAAATGATTATCTGAGTTAGTGGGTTAATGGGGTTTATCATGATGTGTATTTCTTTATCTTTAAGCCAATTAAGTATGCTTTTAATATTATTTCATTTGGCTTTTTCTTTTTTAAATCTTATGTATTTATATTTTTTAATTTGTTTGTGGGATCTTCCAGGTTTTGAAAGAAGATGGTGGGGGTGTTTGACTTTGGAGCTGAAGAGGGGTTGTTTTGCTTTTTGAGGTAATAGTTTGGTTTTTTTTTCCTTCTGCTGCTGATGGGTATGAAAGTGGCATTTGGTAGGTCTACAAGTTTGATGGTATAATTTGCTGATAACTATTGTTTGTTAGAGGTTAAAAAGTTTTGATCTTTGGCTTAGTTGATAGAGATATTGGGATTTTTCCAGCTTTAGTTTTGGTGTTGAAAAGGTTGTTTTGAAGGTGATTGATCATTTATGGTTTATCTGCACTTGGGGTATGAAGGATGTTTACACTGAATTTGAAGGTTGGAGTTTGATTTCTTGATTTTCTACCACCCTTTGATGGACTTGAAGAAATTGTCAGTAGAAAGCTTGGCAAAATTCATAGGGGATTTGAAGGGAATTCTTGAATTTGGAACTTCTTCTGAGCTGAAGGAGGAGGAAAAGGAGAGATTTTTTACTTGTTATCAGGTGTTCTAGGCTGATTGAAGAAAATGGATGAAGAGGTTAATTCTTGGATTAGGAGAACAAAGTTTTCTCATACAGTTTGTCATAGGTTGGATTCTGCAAGATTGGCCTCTATTCCTTTTACTATTCAGTCAGAAAGAATTGCAGGTGCAAAAACAAGACCTGAAACTGCTTCTCCTAATCCAAGACCTGAGCCAACCGTTGTGCGACTTCAGCGCAACCCAACTACAAACAAACAGAGGACTGTATCACCTCATCCAGAAACAGCAATTTCCGATACCTTTAAGGAAGCTCGATCTAGTCAGAAGAGATTCTCAACTCCACATCCACAAAGGAAGGAACATGAGAAGAAAATTATGAGCAAGTCGTTTCACAAAGATTCCCGCGGAACAAAGTCGCCTATGTTAAGGTCNTTGTTAAGGTCTCCTGGTTCGAGATCTCCAGCAAATACAAGTCCCCTTCGGCATTTCACGTCAATGAAGTTCCATGATAAATCAAAGAGCCGGAAGGATTCAGCATGGAGTAGGTACTTTGATCATGGTGTTGGTAGGGTCAGTTCTGTAGAAACAGCAGATGAATATACAATTGATCTTTCTAAGCTGTTTCTTGGGCTAAGATTTGCACACGGTGCGCACAGTCAGCTTTACCACGGGAAATACAAGGATGAAGCTGTCGCGGTGAAAATTATTAGAATACCAGATAATGACGAAATTGGAGCTTTAGCAACTCGATTGGAGAATCAGTTTATTAGAGAAGTTACTCTCTTGTCTCGTCTCCACCATCCAAATGTTGTAAAGGTAGTAAAATAGAGTTAAATTTCTTATCTGGTTCATTTCATTTAAGTATATGCAACTCTGCTGTTGCATCTATTTAACTGTGTCTGATTATCTTGCCTAAAAAATTTCATTCCGTCATTTGCCTCTAACTATAGTCTCCATTTTTAGAAAATAGAGCAATTGTGCTAACTTGTTTTCCTTATAAAACGTCTTTGTGATTTGGTTCATATGACCCCTTGCAGTTCGTAGGTGCATGCAAACAACCACCAGTCTTTTGTGTTGTTACTGAGTATCTATCGGAGGGTTCTTTGAGAGCATACCTGCATAAGCTTGAGCATAAATCCCTAATCTTGGGCAAATTGATAGCACTTTCCATGGATATTGCTCGTGGAATGGAATATATTCACTCACAAGACATTATTCATCGGGACCTCAAACCAGAGAATATACTTATCAGTGAGGAATTTCACCTGAAAATTGCTGATTTTGGAATTGCTTGTGAGGAGGCATACTGTGATCTCCTGGCTGATGATCCAGGTACTTACCGTTGGATGGCACCAGAGATGATTAAGAGAAAATCATATGGCCGGAAGGTTGATGTGTATGGCTTTGGACTCATTCTATGGGAAATGGTGGCTGGAACCATTCCTTATGAAGATATGACACCAGTACAGGCTGCTTTTGCTGTCGTAAACAAGGTACGCTCCAAATTTCGGTGTTTTCTTATTCATCTACTTCTGGCACTCTTGTAATATTGTGTTATTTTGAACTTTATAATCAATTATCATTGAATGGTAAAGTATCATTCACTTAATGCTTTATTTCCTTCCCAAAGAACTTGTTGGCGCAAATAACTTTGACCTCTGCATGGCTGAGCATTTTGACGTAATAGCAACCCACATGCCCCTCGGGCATCCTCCACCCCTCCCAGCAAAAATCTTCTTCTCCTTTGATGCTTTTTCATATTCCTGCGAATTAGGGATATATGTAATCCTAAAAGTACTTGTCTTTTTTGGCCTTCAGAATATGCGACCACCTATTCCTGGGGATTGCCCTCCAGCCATGAAAGCTTTAATTGAACTGTGTTGGGCTCTGCAGCCAGAAAAGAGGCCTGAGTTTTGGCAGATTGTGAAGGTACTGGAGCAGTTCGAGTCATCAGTTGCTCATGACGGAACTCTGAATCTTGTGCAAAAGTCAATGTTGCAAGATCACAAGAAAGGGCTTCATCATTGGATCCAAAAGCTTGGTCCCGTACATCAAAATGCTTCGTTACATCAAATTGCCTCATCAATGCCAATGCCGAAACCCAAGTTCGCTTGAATTTTCTGGATGATCTGACTTTTGTGGTTTTACCAGGTCGTGTAATTAAACTGCTTTTGGGTTACATACTGCTGTATATCTCTGCCCCGCCATTAAGTGAATGTGAATGTTTAGGTTGTAGGTTTGCATTGGGTGGCCTCTGTAATTTTATATGATAGGTAAACAAAGTATGATCATCAGATCTTGAATGCAAGTGCCATCTGTAAGGCTTGGTATAGCCTTTGTAATTTTACATGGTAGGTACACAAAATATGATCATCAGATTTTGGATGCAAGTCTAGGTTGAGTTGAATGCAATAAATTCTAAACCTTTTTTAATGTGGTATATTATCTACTTCTCAAGCCAAGACGACATTTGCTAATAATTATATAGTGGTTTTACTTGCATTAAACAGTTCTCTTGAAGCTTTCAGCTGCCTGTATTGCAAGCATAATGTTGCTTGTTTAAGTTTCCTTAAAATGCATTGCTTGCTTGCTGTTTGGGGTGATTTTTTGGTCGACGATAGGGTTTGTGATTTTTGGATATGTAGTTTGTTGAAGCTTGGCACCTACACGCCCTGCTGCTGATTGTTGGTGGCATTACTAATAAAGCTTGTTAATTGTAGATGTCGGGTAATATTAACTGAAACATAATACAGTGCTCATCTGAATGTAAAAACTGGTAGCATTTATGAACATTGGATTTAACATGGATCTTTATTTGGAGAAGCCGATTGGTCAGCATTTAATTTACTTAGCCATTCAATATGTGTGCAGATTTTGTTGAATGAATACATTTTGACCCCCAGACATATTTTGCATAGTTGAGATGGTTGTCATTGACAAAGGACACAATCTAAAGATTGTTCCTATAGCTCCAGCATTGACGAAGGTTCCTTCTGGAAGGACTAACAATTTAGAAACAAGAATCTTTATAGTTTTCCCCTTGGGTGCACACGATTAACGTTGGACCTTTAAGGGAAAACATATGTGAAGATGATAGGTTGCTAAGCCTAAGGTGCATCACTTGCCTTATTTGTTCAATTGTTTTCATTTAACATTTGTTTCCAACTAGGCCAAAATACATTAGAATGAAAGCAAGTTAACACCCTCTTGCATCCTTCATGTTTTGCCTGAGTTTTCCTTTGCAGGGTGCAGGTCAGAAAAGATAGCTGGGCCAATGGTTCCGTACGTTTTAAAGGAAAGAAGATAATGTGATTAATTCACTTGCTACTTGCTGCATCAACTTGGTTTTCTTTCTTTTGGTATCAAGAGATAGGTATGCAAGCCCATCTACTCCACTACCTCTTGAATGGAAATTAAATATCTTCTCATTTATTACCCATATTGCTATATCTAGAATGTATATAAGGACCACAAAGTGGGTACTGAACTTTACTAATGTTGCACTTGCATGTTATACATGTATCGACTGGTTCCTGGAAATATCGTAATTCATTTCCTTTTTATTTGAATAATGAAAGGAAAGACAACTAGTTAGGTTTTGTATGTGTGCATGAATCTTGGAAAAGACTATAAAAAACCAGTGGCTGCATCGATTAGTTTTGTGAAATGAACCATCGTTTGCATGGTATCCGTGATACTTGTAATGTGATTAGAATCTGTAAAGATGCATTGTGATTCCTCTTGATAGTTTTAAGTGGAAAAATAGTGAAATTCATGTTTTGTGTGTTACTTTGGAGTTTCACATGTTACCTATTCTGGATATGTTTGATATTGTGGTTCATGTGAATGGAAGCTTTGAGAGGTTATGGAGGACTTCAGAGATGTGGTCCTTCCTTTTGTCTAACACCTACTACAATAATTGAGAAGATTTTTCTGTCACATTTTTAAGTTTATGCAACATTTTAAAGATATTAACACTCTCATTTCTATTTTGGGATAGGATAATTATACAACATTTCGTCTTGTAATCAGAGTGAATGTTGGGTAACTAAAGTTCAATGTATTCATAAGACGAGTGTTGTTAATGTGCGGATATTAAGATGGATGTTTGGATGTACAAGATTAGAAATGATCACATTCACTAGAAAGGTGCAAGTAGGACATTAAAAAATTGCTTGATTTTGAAAACTTTTCCAGGGAAAAATCTCTAAAGCTACAAAGCATTGTAGAAGTTATCGTATGGTTGAAAAATCACGAGAAACATAAAGTAAATGTCTTGTTTATGGTTGAAAAATCACGAGAAACATAATCTAAACATGTCTGGGTTTGAAAACAAGACATTCTTCGTATACTTGGTTTATAGGAACCAGTCTCTCTGGTGTTCGAATCGGCTTTCAAACCAAACATGTGATTTTGTTTGTAGAGTCAACATATGCGTCTTATTTATTGAGAAACAGAATTCAGCATTTCTGCCCTTTGCTATGCAAGAAAGGTTTCTTCTTCTTATATAATTCGTTTAATTTATACAAGAATGAGAACCTTTTTTTCTTTTTCTTTTTTCGGTTTTGAATATTTAATATTCAATTAAAATAGAGAAATTAAATCGATTGAGATAGAATTTCTTTATACATAAAAGCAGAAAAGGATATAAGCTTGTCATAGATATTGTTAAAATACAAAATTAATATTTAATACTATAATAAGAGAATTTGTTTGCATATTGAAAGTTTGATGTCAGTTGACGAATTATATTCACGAAAAAGGGATAAATTGTATCAAAATTAATAATTCTTAATATCAAAATTGACCGTAAGTTTTTTTTTTTTTTTGCATCGTATATGTCTACATGTTTCCGTGCAAAAGATATTTTTTCACATTTATAAGTGATTTTATTCCTTTAATCAATCCTCATAAGAATAGTATAGATGCTCGTAGACTTGTTGAGCACGAATACTACATACATTCCTACATACTCGGGCAATCATTAGAAGATAAGTTACTTTTCCTAAGATTTGTTATATTTGGGTTATTGCGAGTCCGAAACCTAATTGTGATATTTTTGGACTCAAGTGACTATAATAGGTAAAAAAAAAAAAAAAAGATGGGGCTGGATACCATTATATATATAGCGCGGTTATTCACCGCGCTATATCTTAACGACACGTTTGTCCGTTAAGGTATAGCGCGATGAATAGCCGCGCTATATTTGAACTTAAAATGGGCGGGAAGGTATAGCGCGCATATGTACTACGCTATATTATAGCGCGATACATATGCGCTCTATACCTATATAAATAAGCGTGCCTTCTTCTTCCTTCCCCACAGACGCACCCCCCCCCCCTCCCAATTTTTNGTTATCGTGTAGTGGGTTGCTCGTTTCTGTAATGACCCAGCCGGTCGTTTCGAGAGTTATAGCCCCGTTTTCCCCATTTCTACTTCTTTTTGTGTTATTCAGCTATATTATGTTATATCGGGTTAGTTGGTTCGGGACCGGAGTAGTTTCAGAGTGAATTGAGACACTTAGTCTCTTAAGTAGAAACTTAAGTTGGAAAAGTCAACCGGATGTTGACCTATGTGTAAACGATCTCGGATTTGAATTCTGATGTTTCCGGAATGTGATTTGGAGGTCCGTGGTAGAATTAGACTTGAATTGGCGAAATTAGAAATTTGGCGATTTCAATCGGCAGTGGAAAATTTGATATCGGGTTCGGAATGAAATTTTGAAAGTTGGAGTAGGTTCATAGTGTCATTTGTGACGTGTGTGCAAAATTTGATGTCATTCAGACGTGGTTTGGTTGGTTTCGGCATCAGTTGCCGAATTTGGAAATTTAGAAGTTCTTAGGCTTAAATCCGAGGGTAATTTGGTATTTGGATATTGTTTTGAGTGATTCGAAGGTTCGACTAAGTTTGTATGTTGATATATGACTTGTTGGTATTTTTGATTGAGGTCCCGAGGGCCTCGGGATGATTTCGAAAGGTTAACGGGAAGTTTGAAGTTGGAAAAATACAGCTTGTGCTGCTCCAGGTGCGGGGTTTGGAAGCCTGGGGTTTTATCGCAGAAGCGGATAAGGGATCGCACCTGCGAGACCACAGGTGCGAAGAGGTGATCGCAGGTGCGGGTTTTAGGACCTTAAGTGACTTCCGCAGATGCGGGCTTTTGGGCGCAGGCGTGCTATCTGGACCGCAGATGCGGTTTTGCTGGGCAGAAAGGCATAAATTGAACCCTTCGCGAATTTTTGGTCATTCTTCACAATTTCAACTCGGTTTTTTGAGCTTTTGAAGGGTTTTGAAGAGGGAATCAAGGGAATTTCATTGAGGTAAGTTACTTGAGCCTAATACTTGTATATATGGTGATTTTTCTGTTGTTTAATGATGGTAATTAGTGAAAATGAGGGGTTAGGGCTTGAAATTTTTGAAAAATAATTTAAGGATTTGAAGTACCAAACGATGTCGGATTTTGATGAATTTGGTATGGTTAGACTCGTGAGTGAATGAGCTTTCTAATTTTGTAAATTTTGTCGGATTTCGAGACGTGGGCCCGGGGGCAGGTTTGAGCCAATTTTGGGTTTTGGTCTAATTTTGAAGCTTTTCTTATGGAATTCATTCCATTAGCGTATATTGATGGTATTGTACTGATTGTGAATAGATTTGGAACATTTGGAGGCCGAGTCCAGAGGCAAGAGCATTGCGGGGTAGAGATTTGACCGGTTTGAGATAAGTAACGATTGTAAATCTAGTCCTGAGGGTATGAAACCCCAGATTTTGTATCATTCTACTATTTTTAGTGACGCACATGCTAGGTGACGGGCGTGTGGGCGTGCACTGTTGGGGATTTATGACTTGGTCCGTCCCGTAGCAACTGTAAAGTTGCATACTTTGTTGAAACCATATGATACTTATATGTTTTAGAAAGAATTTCTGTAAATTGGGTTGAATCCCATGTTTGGGTCTTGCGCCAATGCTGTTTGGACCCTTAGGGGCTGTTTCTTACCATCCTCGCATTGTTTTCGATTGAAAATCTATACTCAGTCATGTTTATACTTGTTTACCGCATAACTCAGTTTTATAACTCTATTTTGATGCATATAAATGTTTTGGGCCGAATGCCCTGTTTTACTGAAATGCCCGAGTGACTTGAGAGGTTTATGTATGACTGAGTGAGGCTGAGGGCCTGATTTGTGAGGATGAGTGTGGATCGGGGATGCCCGCTTGCAGCATACTTTATTATTATGGCACGTGAGTTGTCCGTGTAGATTATAGCGCTTGGGCTGAAGGAGCCCCTCCGGAGTCTGTACACACTCCCAGTGAGCGCAGGTACTACTGAGTGCGAGTGCCGAGTGCTGAGTGACTGGGAGGCATGAGTGATTGTGAGGTATGCCCGAGTAGCACGAGTGACTGTGAGGTTTGTCGAGGGGCTGTATATGACAATATTTTGCCCGAGGGGCTGTTTATGATTTTATCATTTTTGCTCACCTTTGTATTTTTTCTCTGTCTGAAAACTGTTAAAAAATATCTTTAAATGATTTTTACTGGAACTGGGTTAAACGAGATATTTTGATTCAAATCCTGATTTTTAAAAGCATGTGGTATTTTACTGAGATTTTCCGATATGAATGTTATATTCTTTTTTTGCTCGTCACTACTGCTCAGTCTTTATTTATTGTTGTTACTTACTGAGTTGGCGTACTCACGTTACTCCCTGATTCAGGTGTAGCTGGTCACGGTAGCGGTTATTGAGTGTTTTGGTTGCAGATTTTCTTGGAGATAGCAAGGTAGCTGTTTGGCGATCGCAGCCCCTGCTCTTCTCCCTCTTATCTTCCTCTAGTTGTATTTAGCTATTTTTCAGGCTGAGTTAACCTTGATATTGTTAGACAGATTGTAGTAGATGCTCATGACTAGTGACATCCCGATATCGGGCTTTTCCTTTCGCACTTTTATTTTTATTGTAACTCAGTTACGAAGGTTTTTATGTTAAATAACCTTGAAATTATCTTTAAATGAAAATATCGGTTTGTTTTGGAAATGAGTCGGCTTGCCTAGTTCCACGATAGGCGCCATCACGACTGGGGTTAGTTTTTGGGTCGTGACAGATTGGTATCAGAGCCTAGGTTACACAAGTCTCACGAGTCATGAGCGGGTTTAGTAGAGTCTTGCAGATCGGTACAGAGACATCTGTACTTANCTGGGGTAGTACTTGTAGATCCACTGGTTGTCCCAGATCAGGACCAGGTTCCAGTTGTTGATGCACCAGCTCAGGCACCACCTGTGCCTATTGTGATTCCAGGCCTTCAGGAGGCCCTAGCTCAGATTCTGACAGCGTGTACTGGCCTTGCTCAGGCAGCCTCTATTTCGACGGCCGCAACCATTTCTCAGGCCATGGGAGACACTCAGACTCCCATCGCTCGCACACCCGAGCAGATTATTCAGGGACTTCAGACACCGGAGGCACCACCAGCCCAACCGGTTGCTGTTGCTCAGGATTATGTGGTTCCCGCTATGCCTGAGGATGATCAGCGTAGGTTGGAGAGCTTTAGGAGACTTCAGGCACCACCTTTCAGTGGCACGGAGAGAGAGGATGCTCAGGACTTTTTGGACAGGTG